GTGAGAGTTGGACTGTGAAGAAAGTTGAGCGCCGAAAAATTGATGCTTTTGAACTGTGGTGTTGGAGAAGACTCTTGAGAGTCCCTTGGACTGCAAGGAGATCCAACCAGTCCATCCTAAAGGAGATCAGTCCTGGGTGTTCATTGGAAGGACTGATGCTGAAGCTGAAACTCCAGTACTTTGGCCACCTCACGTGAAGAGTTGACTCATTGGAAAAGACCCTGATGCTGGGAGGGATTGGGGGCAGGAGGAGAAGGGGAAGACAGAGGATGAGATGGCTAGATGGCATCACTGACTCGAGGGACATGAGTTTGAGTAAACTCTGGGAGTTGGTGATGGACAGGGAGGCCTGGTGTGCTGCGATTCATGGGGTCGCAAAGAGTCGGACACGACTGAGCGACGGAACTGAACTGATAATGGGTGCCTATACATTAACAATTGTTATATCTTCTTGATGGGTCGATCCTTTTATCATTATATAATATTCCTTTATGTCTCATTTCTTCTTTGTTTTAAAGCCTTTCATCTGATGTAAGTATTGCTATTCCCTGCTTTTCAATTCCATTTATGTGGAATACCTTTTTCCTTGACTTCACATTCAGTCTTCATGTGTCTTTAGAGATGAGGTGAATTTCTTGTAGGTAGCATATACATGGATCTTGTTTTTTATCCATTCAGCTCCTCTATGTTCTTTGATTGGAACATTTAGTCTATTTAGTGTTATTATTTTACATCTTTTTGTTTGTGTATTTCTTAACTACTTCTTATTGTGGATACAGATGATTTTATACTTTAGTCTTTTAACCTTCCTGCTAGCTTTTTAAGCAGCTGATCTATTGCTTTTACTATATATTTTCTTTTACCAATGAGATTTTTTCCTTCTATAATTTTCATATTTTTAGTTGTGGTCTTTTCTGTTTAAAGTAGCCTCTTTAACATATCTTGCAAAGCTGGTTGAAAGTGAAAGAAAGTGAAAGTGGTTCTGTCATGCCCAACTCTTTGAGACCCCGTGGACTATACAGTTCATGGAATTCTCCAGGCCAGAGTACTGGAATGGGTAGCCTTTCCCTTCTCCAGGGGATCTTCCCAACCCAGGTATCAAAGCCAGGTCTCCCACATTGCAGGCAGATTCTTTACCAGCTGAGCCACAAGGGAAGCCCAGTGGTACTGAGTTCCTTTAACTTTTGCTTACCTTTAAAATCCTTTCTCCTCAAATCTGAATGCTAACCTTGCTAGGTAGAGTATTCTTAGGTAGAGTATTCCTGTTTTTTCTTCCTTTCATTACTTTGAATATATCATGCCACTCTCTTCTGTCCAGCAAAGTTCCTGACAAAAAGACAGCTGATTGTCACATGGAAGTTCCCTTGTATGTGACTAGTTGCTTTTCTTTTGGTGATTTTAAGAGTCTCTCTTTAATAATTGCCACTTTAATTATAATGTCTTGGTGTGGACCTCATTGAGTTCATCTCTTTTGGGACACTCTGCTTCCTGGACCTGGCTGTCAATCTCCTTTCCCAGGTTAAGAAAGTTTTCAGCTACTTTTTCTCCAAATAAGTTATCTACCTCTTTCTCTCTCTCTTCTCCTTCTGAGAGCCTCTAATGTGAACGTTAGTACACTTGATGTTGTCCCAGAGGTCTCTTAAACTACCACCATTTTAAAGTTTTTTTTCTGTTCAGCTTGATTTCCACTACTCTGTCTTCCAGATCACTGACCTGTTCCTCTATATTATCTAATCTACTGTTGATTCCTTCTAGTGTATTTTTTATTTCATTTGCTGTATTCCTAAATTCTGCTTCATTCTTCTTTATATTTTCTAGCTCTTTCTTGAAATTCTCACCACGTTCGTTCATTCTTCTGAGTTTGATGAACTTGTTTATAATTACCACCTTGAACTCTTTATCAGATAAATTCATTATCTCCACTTTTTTTAGTTCTCTTTCTGAGGTTGTCCTGTTCTTTGATTTAGAACATATTGTTCCATCTCCTTATTTTGCCCAGTTTTGTTTATTTCTGTGTTAGGTGGGCTGGTTAACGTTTCTCGATCTTGGAGAAGTGGCCTCATGTAGATGTCCTATGGGGCCCCAAAGGCTACTCTCCCAGAGCTATATGCTCTAGGGGTGCCTCCTCTGTGGGCTGCGTGCCGCCTTCTGTGGCTGGGCTGGCTACTGTGAGTGTGTGCTGGTGGGAGCCTGGACCCTGGCCTGGCTGGCTACAGGGATGTCCATCTCGTGGGGCTGTGGGCCTGCAGGAGGGCGGGGTAACAATCTCACATGGCTGGCTCCACATTCCATGGGCCTTCAGGCTGGTGCTGGCCCAAGAAGCCAGGTCCCCATGCAGCCGCCAGTTACATTTTTAATCAGTTTGTGGCAATCCAAGTGAGGCCCGGGCTCCAATGCAGGCCTGCCATGCAATGATCACAACCATTTTTAAAGCAACGCTTCTCAGGCTTTCCTGGGTGCAGCAGGGAAGCAGGCTTTCTGCTTCCTTCTCTCCAGAGATTGTGACTGTGGGTATCTGTCCCTTGAAAATGAGGTGGGAAGTATCATTTGTACAAGAACATTCAAAGGATCTTCCTCTTGTCCCACTAAGAATAAATGGATTATATGGAATCTAAACAAAGCTGTGGAGTTTCACATTTTAGGATAAGAACAAACTGCCTCAAAGTCAGATCTTTATCTATCAATCTTACCAATCACTGTCAGGTAAAGATTTCCAAAAATATCAATAATTTACTGAAAACTAATTTGCACAGCAAATTCATGCATGAATAAAATAATTTAGTGTTTCAAAAGTTGTTTTCTTTGAGGCAGAAATTTTATTCCTATTTTAAAATAATTATAATTAATACAAAATAAGCAAATCATTCATTTTTTTATGATAGCTCTTATGCTTTGAAATATAATAAGGGGCTTAGAAAAATCTAAATATAAGTCATGTCATGGAGAAAGGTTTCCCAGAGATTTTGGCAGTGAAAGAACATCAAATATCTTATCACTATCCAGCCTAAATCACAAAACCCATGTGCCTTTCTTGAAGTTTGGATATATCTATTTGGATCCAAATTCTGGGGGAAGCAATGCAAAACACTCAATGGGCTTACTGTTTACTGGATACTTGATCATCTACATAAAGTTCTTACAGGAAAATCCAAGAAGATGTATCCATGTTATTCTCACCTTGAAGTTACCTTGCAGGGTGATGGGCAGAGATGCTCCTGGGAAGTTCTGGGGACAATTAGGACCAGCTATCTGCCAACTGGCTGTGTTAGCAGTCACACCCTCACTTAGAATCCAGGGACCTGGACTTTTCTTTGGACTTCCAAGGTTGGAAGCCAGGGAAGGGAGGAATTCATTAGAGAAGAGCTCACCAGTCACTCACTCCCTCATTCCACATGAGGAGACCAACTCCCTCAGAAGCACAAGATTTTTCCTAATAGTACTCAAATCTGCTCAAAGGGATACTTCTGAACAGAAAAGAAAAAACAAAAAACCTTGATTCTCAAAAGACACGTTATAAGTTATAGTCAGTCAGTTATGCTTTCAGAGCCACAAACTCAGACTGGACTGAGGAGACAACTCTTTTGAGAATCCTTGAGACCTTCCAAATACGGCTGACCTGCCTCTCCGTCTGCCTTCGGGAAGATGCTTTGGTTGAGATGCCAGCCCAGCTCTGGGGCTGTAAGAACTGGGGGGTGAGGAGTAAGGCTTGGATTGGAAGAGAGATGGAGAGATTAGGATGCAGGGAAAGGGTTTGGGAGAGGAGGATCAGGGAAGGGTCACAGGCCATGACACCTGGTCCCCAAACGAGGCACTCAGGAAATGTTGAGTTAGGATGTCCTAGCTTGTCTTCTCCCGTGACGCAGGGCAGTGGACCAGCCGTCCACAAGGCTCTCCCCAGCAGCTCTCATCCCTAGTCCTCTTCATAGCCTTACTCCCTCAAATTTATAGTACTGTCAGAACTAAAGTGATAAAGCGAGTCAGAACACAGTCTCCATCCCATCAGAATTCCAAACATAGTGACTCTGATTACAGCTGGGAAATAACACACAAAAGCTGACCAAGCCCAGGCTGACAGACAGAGCTCTGTTTCAGACCTGAAGATGGATGAGATCAATTTTGAAGCTTCTCTGCCTTCATCTTCTAGGTTATAGATGTCAGTGATTTTTTTTTTTTTGCCTCCAAGCCTCATATTTCAAACTACATCCTTCTAGAGTAATCACAGGCATCATTTTATATAACCCCTAGAAAATGAGTCACTTTGTGATGAAGCAGCATTTTAGAATTTGTGGTCTACTGTAGGTTTTATTCAATTTAGTTGGTTGATCTTTAACCAATGTCAAAGACAGTTTCATTTCAAGAACTTCAAAAGACAGTTATATTTAATGTTAATCCCTGTTTGAACAACCAGTCATCCAATTTTATATTTTAGTTACTAAATGTATCAATAAGCACTAAATGTATCAGCAATCATCAAAATGATTGGCTTGCCTATACCATATCCCTGTTACATTTACCAGTACACATGTGATATATTTTAACACATGTGATTATACTATAAGCAGTACACATGTGATATATTATACATGTGATATATTACAACACATGTGATTATACTATAACCAGCACACATGTGATATATTATAACCAGTTGGACTTAAAGCAGAGAGAGTTGCAGGCTGCAGAACCTGTGAAGCCTGGGCCACGTGTGGTCCCCACCAGCCCCCCTGTCCCCAGCCCACCCAGGACAAAGGGATGGCTGTATAGACAGGTGACAAAGTAGAATGAGCATTTTCTAGTCACCCCAAAAATCGATTTCTCCTTGAATTACCCCCAAAGCCTGCTTTGAGGGTTTGGTTAAATAGTTCATCGGCTGAGCGTGATACAGCCTGGAGTTGAACTGAAGCAGTCTTTCAAAGCGTCCTTCCCCCGGTGCAGTTACACCCAGGAGAGGCGGCGGGAACAGCCCTGCAGGAACAAACCCCGCCATCCGCGCGCCTCACCTGCCATGTCGATGGCGAAAGGCCTGTCTGCCCTCCAGCCGGTGTACCAGCCCACGACTTTGCCGTTCTCCACCAGCGGACGTTCGTAGCGCCGCCCGCCGACCAGGCCCACCGGCCAGACCGAGACCTTGCGAGTCGTTCGCATCTACAAAAGCGGAAAGAGAAGTGGTTGAAGGTTCCTTAGGGAAAAGGCCCTGGAAAGAGGAAAGGAAAGTGAGCCGCAGACGAAATGGAGTGGAGATTTTCAATTCACTGCCCTGTGCCGCCCTGGACTGAGTCAGGGGCTCAGGGCTGAGATATAAAGTGGGTTGGTGTCTCAACATCGCTCACCTCCTTGGAAGCTAAGTTGTGGCCGTCAGATATTGTCTCCGTGTCTCAAAGCTGAATCTGCAACAATACTCCGTACCTCCAGAAATGAGGAGGCTGGCTGACCCCCGGGGAACTGCACGTCCAGTAACAGCAGGAGTTCCGCTCAGACACCAGGCACCCTCCGGACTGACAGAAAGAAAAATGTACCCTAAATTCGCCTGCCTTTCAAAGGCAGTCTGGCCAAATTAGCGAGGAATGCCCCATGCCAGTGGGGTCCTCTCCAGGTACACGCTCTTGTGCTTCGTGGAGCTCTGGTCAAAGACAGCCCTCAACCAGAAGTTTATCTCCTAGATTTCTTTAAGGGGAAAGACTCAAAGTTCACAGAAGTACAGTTCTTTTCTCAATTCACTCCACCTTCAGACCCCTGTCTTCTTGCACACTGCAGAAAATGGAAACATTTCCATTTTTTCGTTTGATATCTCAAATATGCCAAGCATACTGAAAAACCAAATTAAATCTAATACATGTTTTTCTACAGTGACAAAATGGCCTTGTGTCTAACAAGGCATGAAAATAGTGCTGTGTCCTTTTTTTGATATTTCCTTAAAATGCCTGTGATGTTTCAGCTCCTAAACTGCTTTTCCCTGTAGCACTAAATGTTTAAATGTGGAAAGCTGGTAAACAGACCCCATCTCAGACTTGGGTGGGTGTCCTCCTGACAACGCATAGGCTGTGCCTGCATATAGCAAAGGCCGAAACATTCTTGATAAGGATGTGAGCACCATGTGATACCGGATATGTGAGTCATGGGTAGCAAGAAATCAGGATGAGCTGTGCTGTGAAGAGGTACCTCACGGGCAAAGGGGCAGACAGACAGGAGAAGAATGGAAGGAGATTGGAAACAGGAAAAGAGAAATTTCCTTAAAGAGTAGAACACACGTAACTGGGAACACTCCCTCTGGGACTAGCAAACACGACCAGATGGGTTCAATGCCTGGCTTTTCACTTCAAACGGGGCTGTGAAAGACATGAAGGATTTTGCCCACAGATTCCAGAATGGCCTAGGGTTCTGGGTAAGGAGATGAACCAAAGAAGTAACTCTTCACACTTCTGTGCCAGTTTCATGCTAGAACATGCAGGGTTTGTTTGCATGCTCCAAATTCCTGAGAGTAGCTCAGACCAAACATCTGTTCATGTTTTATTTTTTTTCAGCAGATCGGGTGCTAAAGGAGAAGCAATGACTATTGAACACAGGTGATATGGCAGGATTATATTTCCAAGTATGCTAAATTTTAAAATGTCAGTCACTTAAATACAGGCAGCACATCATATCCACAGTTGGTTGAACCCACAGATGCCGAAACTGTGGATATGGAGGGTCCAGGTTGGCACTTGAGCATCCTCAGATTTGTACCCGCAGTGGGTCCTGGAGCCAATCTCCCATGGGTGCCTAGGGATGCCTGTAGTCTACAACTTCAGAAAGATCCAGATGCTTTTGCTGTGTATGCATGCTTCTGAGATTGAGTGTGGACTCCTTCATCATACAGCCTGGCGGTGCAGGACCATTGCATTACAGAGTGTGCCAGGCATTTTACAGGAAAATAGCAGCGCTATTTGCAGAGCATCTGCAAGCCGCCCCTGGGACCCATCTTTGTTCTGCGTCCTTTTCATTCCATCGCTGCTTCTTAAGGAGTCCTTGGCAGCTACATGCTTTTCTGAGGGGAGGGGGATGTAATGATGACTATTCCTATTAAAACTAAAAGCATTTTCCTAAAACTAATTCCCGATATTTAAAAGTTTTCCTACTTTCTTAGCACAGAGCAGCAGCTATGTCACGGCACAATTCCAGGTACCTGGTGTGAGCTCCAGTTTGAAATCGAGGAGTAAAGCGCTGGATGTTAAGAAAGTGAGGAAGCACTTTGCATATTAATGACTCACAGCGTCTGGCCCCAAAGGCATTTTCTTCCCCTTCAACACCAGAGCCACACTCTGTCACTTACTCCTCCCGCTGTGACTCCCAGTTAAATGGACAGGACTCACAGGCAACCAGCCCAGATCACCAACAGACCCAATGGCTGAAGGACCACAAGATGTGTTAGCTACGTCTCCGCACTCCTCCAGGCTAAATGCCTTCAAACTCCCCAGGGCAGGGGGTGTTGGTTTGTCTGCATCTCCTCCAGGAGAGCAGGGAGGCAAGGAACTGCCCTGCACTCCACGTCTGGCGACTCTTCCCAGCAACCAGCTCCTGTTTCCTTAAGCCAACTTTGTTTCGGCAGCTTTAAGCTACAGGGCTTTGGTCCCTGTCTGGGAGACAGCTAGCAGCCAGCTGCAGGACTGGAACACTTCAGATCACATGTCCGTTATCATCAGAATGCCCTTAGAGTGAAACAGAAAGTTAAACAAGTGTCTTTACCTTCCTTTAAGACCTACTGGTAAGTGAAAGTCGTATTTATTTTTTCCAAAGGGAAATGAGCAAAATCCTTGATCTTATGAAACATGAAATGCTATAGGCAACTTCAAGGAGTAGAAATACAGTAAAGAATTTTACATCCCATGTCCTTCTTTTTAAACTAATAATTTCAGTGGTGAAAAAGCCACCCCAAACCGACAATAAAAAAATCACCCTAAATGTGGCAGCATACACATTTAGAACTAAAGACAGACAGGAAAGAGAGCTGCAAATGTGATGAAGAAGCAGAGAGTGTGCACCTGGAGCCCAGGGTCCTTTCCAATATTGTGCATAAACACCTGGTATTTTCCAACAGAGAAGCTACATTTATATGATCCAGCACATCCATAAATTTTCTTTGGAACAAGTCTGAAAATTAGCATCATGTCTGTTTTCTCTGTTGCATCTGATTCACCATCCATTTCCTTCAACTAACAGTTCCCCGGCTCAGCGCTAATCACTCCACACAGTGTCCTTCACATAACTGGATATTGCCTGGGATCTTTTCTTTTTTTTCCAGATAATTTTGATTACAATATGCAACCATTTATGGAGCATGAGCTTCTGAGGGGCAGAAACTAATTACTTAAAGGAGCTAAGAATTCTAGAAGCAGAAACGCCCCTAATGCTATATACTCAACCCTTCTCTTGTGCCATTGGGTAGAAGGTCTAGAAGACCACACCTCACATCTCTTCACACCTCCTGTATCTTTCCACTAAATATCAATCACACACCTAGCATGCGTCCAGTGCCACCCCCTGAGCGAGGTGGATGACGTCCGTGCCTATGAAGCCAATGCTCCGGGAAAGAAAAACCAGTAACACAACCAACTGCAAAACAAGCTACTTAAATCTTATGCTGACAAGGGCTCTAAGGCAGCAGATGGTGCTATGAGGTACATTTCAGAGATTCTGATCTGGTCTGGAACCTGCTGAGGCTTCCTCCGGGACATTGTCCTGAGCTAAGCCCACAGCACAAGAAGCACTGGCCACTGTGGACACGAAGACCCAGGACTTTCCAGGAAGAAGGCAACTCAAGTGCTTCAGGTCGCGGACAGGAACGTTCTCCCGCGTTCCTTAATAAAATAGATTCATTTCGGACAGTGGCTGCTGGGAGCCAGGCTTCTCACTGCTGGAGTGAGAACTTATAGACAGCAAAAGAGAAGACCAGCATGACCCCGGTGGCTATGGATGAGAGCTGGAGACATCAGTATGAACTCATGTTTAGCTTCATATAGAGAGGGTTATAGATGGTTACAGCTTACTACAGAGATGGTTACAGATGGGGCTTCCCATGTGGCTCAGTAGTAAAGAATCCACCTGCCAAGCAGGATCCATGGGCCTGGAAGATCTGGAGAAGGAAATGGCGAGCCACTCCGGTATTCTTGGCTGGGAAATCCTATGGACAGAGGAGCCTGGCGGGCTACTGTCCATGGAATTGCAAAGGAGTCAGACCCAGCTTAGAGACTAAACAACAGCAATAGACAGACACGTGTGTAAGCTGGTTAGTACACACACAGTTCCTTGCTCTGTCTGCTGAGGGGCCTGGAAGCAGCAACGGGCCCACCTGGCCCCAGATCATGGTTCCTAACACTGTACTCTAATAAAGGGAACCACAGCTACTCGAGAAGCAGCTGACTCCAGGACTGGCACAGAAGTATACAAGATGATCCAGGGTATCTTCAGAGCCAGAAAGCAAGGAGGCATTCAAAAACACAAAACAAACACATTGATGGGGACATATAAAAAGGCCCACAGGACTCTACTCAATGGCCAAAGATGGAACAACTTGATCAACAAAATTGGTTTACAAACTACAAAATAAACACTAAACACAAATACAACTGAAGTATATAAACAAATGTGTGAATAAATCATCAAAGGGGGAATATACCAACTTCCCACTCAGAAGAATTCCAAATCCCATATATAGGTGGCCCTCCTCCCAACCAAGGAGGTTGAGCTCCTTCGTCGTGGGCTGCATAGGAACTCCCTTTTAGAGAGATCAGTGTGGAAGAAACGTCACAGTGCAGAAACCTCAAGGACGCCGTCCACGGGTTTAAGTCGCTGATAGTATGTGCCCTTGATATGCTGCAAGTGGCACTGTCCCTCCACGGGCTTTTCTAACTTCTGTGAATCTTTCTAATAAAAGAACCAGGGCTCCTTGGAGAAATGTCCAGTTCCAGCACAGAGATGGGGAATACACAAGATGAGCCTAAATCATCCTGCGGCTCCAGAAAGTAAGGAGGGGTTTAAAAGGCAAAGATCCCACACAAACCCACATCAGTGAGGGTCGGTCTGAAGGACACAGCCAGCTGAAAGAGGTGCCAGTGGCTAGAGAAGAAACAGTGCAAAATAATGAGCTATACAAAAGTGTAGATAGTATG